GGCGTGACCGAACCAGCGCTCTCGCTCAGGAAGGAAATGTTTGATATAGAAAATGCAGTCATTTTGAAAATATTTTTTTAACGACTTTCGTGATCGTATGTCGCGATGCGTGGGGTCAGAAGCTTAGTCGTAAGTGCGGATTGGCGTAAGTCAGCAGTCAATTGTGAAGTCTGGGACTACATATATATATATATATATATATATATATATATATATATATATATATATATATATATATATATATATATATATATATACAGTTGTACCCCACTTAACGCGGTCAATTGAACCCAGAGGGTCCCGCGTTAAGTGAAAACCGCGTTAAGTGAATAACAGAACATATGGGATTAATTCCAATAGAACCCAGCCCGACCCCCAAACTCCACTTTTTGACGACAAATAACTATGTTGTAGTAAAAATTCTATCTTAACTTTATGGTGGCATGAAAAACAAGTAATATAGAAGAGGTTAGGTTAGGAAAGATAAAGGTTAACATAGGAAAAATAAAGAATAGGTTAAAAAACGAAAATTTTTGAGGAACACTCACGGTAGTAGAAGAGATGGGTCGGCATACGGGGATGGAGGCTGGTTCCGAGGCAGAGGGCAGATTACTGCCCCTCAGGTGAATCACCATTACTAGGTGAATCACCATTACTAGGTGAATCAATATCACTGTCACTTACAGTTGTCATGGCTTCCCTGACAAATCCCTCAAAATCAACTTCACTATCACTATCACTGGCTTGGGCTGGCTGTGGTGGGTTGCGGGCGAAGAACTCGGTTATGCTTTGCTGACAGCTGGCTTTGATGTTGTCATGATACATTGATGTACGGCTCCATAGCCTGCACCAGTCGGGTATGGAAGACGTCATGGCGTTCATCGTCAGTGTCGCGGGAAACGATAGATGAAGCACCTGCAGACTTTGTGATCTTCATGTGCTCCTTTATCTTGGCTGCATCCTTCTTTATTGTACGAATCGTAGATTCGTTGACGCCATGCTGGCGCGCGAGATCAATTTGGCGTCTTCCTTTCTCCAAATCTTGAACAATTTGGTACTTCACCTCGTAGCTTAATGAACGTCGTGTCTTCTTTGGTTTAGTGCCGCTGGGTCCAGGTAAGGAAAGGTTTCTCTCTGGGGGTGGTGGTCCGGCGGAAGCCATTTTACGGAACAATGGATGCGCGTTAACCCGGCGTGGCCTTGAGGAATGAAACTGCCGCGGCTAGGTCAAGCGTCGTCTCTCCTCCCTCCCTCCCTCCCCGGGGTAGTCACGTCATAATACTTTAAGCCAATTACAGCTAGCAGCAGAGGGGGGTAGGGCTGCATGGCCAATCACAGTCCGAGACGTCATATGACGTCAGTGATAACGCAACAAAGACACACACTGCGCAACCTTACCGCGCCGCTTACCCAAGCGGAGGGAGGAGGAGGGAGAGGCAGGCAGGCAGGCGGGCGGGTGGGTGGCGCGTGGCGCGTAGCGCGTGGGCAAAATCTAAAAATAGCATCCGAGCCGGACACTCACCGCGTATATGTGGAAAAAACCCGCTTTAAGTGAAAGTTCAGCTTTGGCAAGGCACCGCGTATATGCGAAAACGCGTTAAGTGAAAGCGCGTTAAGCGGGGTAAAACTGTATATATATATATATATATATATATATATATATATATATATATATATATATATATATATATATATATATATATATATATATATATATATATATATATATATATATATATTTTTTTTTTTTTTTTTTTTTTTTTTTAGTCCCCGACCACATGGGCTTGATCATTGGTCATTGCACGACCTGCTGACGCGTCGTCAGGCGGGACATCTGACTACGACCGTTGTACATGCGATCAAGTAATCACGTGGACTAAAAAATATTTTCAAATATCGCCCGCATTTTCTATACCGAAACATTTCCTTCCCGGGCGTGAGGGTGGCGCGTCTCGGGTCGCCTCGTGGGTACACTCACTCAGTGGAGCGCTTAGTTGGTGTTTGGCTATCGTATTTTATACTGATCGCGCTGTGAACTTTCGTTATTATCGGATTTAATTGGCTTTATAATGGCTGGAAAGAGTAAAAGTGAGAGTGCTGGTGGTGTTCCAAAGAAAAGGAGACAGGCAATTACTTTTGAGATGAAAATGAAGATAATAACACAGCATGAGAATGGAAAAACAGTAGCAACAATCTCACGCGACCTAGGTTTCTCACACTCGACTATATCCACTATTCTGAAGGACAAGGAACGTATTCGTGAAGTAGTGAAAGGAACAACACCTATAAAGGGAACTATAATATCAAAGAGAAGACAAGGTCCTATTCACGATATGGAAAAATTATTGGTGATATGGATAGAAGACCAGATACAGAAGCGTGTACCCTTAAGCCTTCTAACCATACAGGCTAAAGCAAGAAGCCTGTTCCAAAGCCTGAAGGAGCAGGCAGGAGATGAATGTGATCAAACCTTTACAGGAAGTCATGGGTGGTTTGATAGATTTAAAAAACGCTACAGTCTACACAATGTTAAGGTGAGTGGAGAGGCAGCTAGTGCCGATGTTGGTGCTGCCGAAGCTTTTAAGGAGGAGTTAGATGATGTGATTGTGGAAGGGAATTATTTGCCTGAGCAAATATTCAATGTGGATGAGACTGGATTATTGTGGAAACGCATGCCTGAGCGGACATACATCCACAAAGAGGCAAAAACAATGCCCGGATTCAAGGCATTCAAGGACAGAATTACACTTCTGTTGGGGGGGAATGTTGCTGGTTTCAAGCTAAAGCCCTTCATGATCTATCATTCAGAGAACCCCAGGGCTTTTAAACATGTCAGCAAGCACACACTGCCAGTGTTTTATCGCAGTAATAAGAGAGCCTGGATGACCCTAGTACTGTTTGATGATTGGTTCATGACTTGTTTCATTCCACGAGCCAAGGAGTATTGTCTGCAACAACAGATTCCATTCAAGATTTTACTGATTTTGGATAATGCTCCGGGACACCCACCACACCTGGACGACATGCACCCTGATGTTAAGGTAGTGTACATTCCACCTAACACTACCTCTATCACCCAACCCATGGATCAAGGTGCTATTGCTGCCTTTAAGGCGTATTATTTACGCACGACCTTCACTCAGGCTGTTGCTGCTACTGAAGGTGAGAAAACGCTCAGAGTTTTGGAAGGAGTACAACATTTTGTCAAGTATAACGAACATTAGTGCAGCATGGGATCAGGTTACAAAACATTGCATGAATGGAATATGGAAGAAAATCCTGAAAAGATATGTGAACAGTTTCAAAGGATTTAATGAAAATAAAGTTATTTTGGATATTAGTAACAAGATAGTGGAGTTAGGTAAGCAGCTGGAGTTAGGAATTGATAATGAAGATGTTGGACAGTTGGTTGAAAGTGTAGCAGAAGAGCTCAGTAACGAGGATCTTATTGAACTAGATGCACAGAAAATTGCAGAGGAAGAAGAAGAGACAAAATGTAGAAGAAGAACCTGCACCCCCCAAAAAGTTTTCAGTGAAACATATGGCAGAGGCATTTGCTACAATTAATAAAGGAATGCAAATGTTTGATGGCATGGATCAAAATAATGAGCGTTATGCCAAAGTTGACAGAATGATCCAAGATGCACTTGCTTGCTACAGAGAAATTTATAATGAAAAGAAAAAGCAAACTGTGCAGTCTAAATTGGACATCTATTACAAGAAGTTCCCCAGTGGTGTCTCCTCACGCCCCACCAGTGCTGCCTCTTCACTCCCTCAAGATGATCCAATACCTTCAACCAGCAAGTTTCCACAGCACATAAACCTGTCTGAAGAAAGCGACATTGATGACCTATCCAGCCCTGTCTCCTCTTCTGCTTCTTCCAATTAAAATATGTAGTCTCCATGTATCCTGTAAATAGAAAATTATGGGGGCCCTGTGTACATTCAGCTGACTACATTTAAGGTAAGTGCTCATTCACACTGTGTCCTTTCCTCATTATTTATTACGTTTAGTGTACTGTATTTCATTGTGGATTTTTAATTTAAAAAAAAAAAATTTTTTTTTTCTTTTTTATCTATGTCGGACTTACGACCTGGATTTGGGTCCCTAACCCCGTCGTAAGTCGGGGAGCACCTGTGTGTGTATGTATATGTATGTATATATATATATATATATATATATATATATATATATATATATATATATATATATATATATATATATATATATATGTATATATATATATATATATATATATATATATATATATATATATATATATATATATATATATATATATGCATAAATCACCATATATATATATATGATAATACAAGAAAAGAAAACCATAGTTCCCAGCGCTAAAGCTGAGGAAGAGTGCAGTCGGCATTATTTATGTATATTATATATATATATATATATATATATATATATATATATATATATATATATATATATATATATATATATATATATATATATATATATATATATATATATATATATATATATATATACATACACAGGTATCTACATAACAAAACTAACCTTCAGCATCATGGTTCTATTACAGGGAATAGTTCTCTTGTCTCTATCAACATAGTAATCTGTGTCATACCAGTTGCTAGTGAACCATCGTGGCAAGAACCAAACATAGTCTTGGTAAGCCGTCATATTCTGGCGGTAAGCTTCACACATCACTTCACGTGCTGTACTGGCATAAAAATCTCCAATAATGATCTTACGGTTTTTGGCCTTTAGCTTCACGAGATGCTGCAAAAGAACACCAGAATTATTAAGGGTGTAAATCATCTTGAATATAATGATAGAATCTTCTTAGATGAATGAAAATCTACCTCCTACAGATAGTAATACAGCTATGGTCTTCTAACAGTACATTTATTCAGTACTAGTTACATTCACTGCTGTCACAGGCTTTTACAAAATTCATAAAACTCATTCATTGACTAATTTCATTTAACTTTGCATATTCTAAATTCAACTTTCTTAAAAGAAGGGTGATGAGAATAGTGAGAACATATATGGTGGCGTTTCATTAGACATTGTAAGGGCTAGAAAATAGATTAAAAAGAAAATAACACTACTGATGACTCATGTGACACAGGGGTAATATATTGTATCAGGTAAGTCTCATTAGAACTGGGTTTGAATAAATTAACAATCTTTTTGGTCTCTGTTTTATTATTTTTAGTTCTAAGATGATTGTTGATGGATGGTACCCTTGTACAGTATAGTACTTTATTATGGATATAAATAAATGAAAATGATAGCTCCAAGGAAAGCCACACAACTTGCAGCTACAGATATGTTCTTAGGAATACCATACTTTTGCTTACTTTACTTTTAGCCTCTTCATCACTGATCGGCTCGTTAGTTCCTTGGGCGATCGTCATGTCTCTGATTACTTTTCCTTTTCTTTTATCCTCGTCACCAAAAGATCGGCTCGTTAGCCGTTTTGGCGATCGGTCACGTCTCTGATTACTTTTCCTTTTCTTTTATCCTCTTCACCAAAAGATCAGCTAGTTAGCCACTTGGGCGATCGGTCACATCTCTGTTACGCACTGTTGGCAAGTACTGGGCATGCACCGGCTCCTGAATGTACCTGAACCCGCTCCAGTGTTGGTCAAGTCTTGTCTTGAAAGAGCTCACACTCGGTGCCGTCACAACACTTTCTGGGAGATTGTTCCAAGAGTTCACAACTCTCACTCCGAAAAAGTTTGCCCTCACAGTTTTCTGGTTTTGCGGCTTCTTCAATCTTGAGCTGTGACCCCTTGTGGGGCGAGCGTCCGCCAGCTCCAAGTAAGGACACTCTACGGAGTAGTGCCCCTTGAGATGCTTATACACCTCTATTAGGTCACCCCTTGCCCGTCTGTAGTATAAGCTAGGCAAATTCAGGCGCTCCAATCTCTCAGGGTAGCTGAGGTGCCGAAGGGCAGGCACCAGTCTGGTCGTCTTCCTTTGAACATTTTCAACCAACTGACAGTCCCTAGGATATCTCAGGGACCAGATGGGGTGACAGTACTCCAGATGGGAAAGCACTTCACTCTTGAATATTGTTACGAGGGATGGACCGTCTAGATATCTGAACGACCTTCTTATAAGACCCAATAATTTATTTGCCTGATTTACCTTCTTCTCACAATGGCCGAGAACTTCAGCTCATTGTCAACATACACACCTAAGTCCTTCTCACATTCAGTCTCAAATAGTGCAGTTTCTTCATCCCGTTGGGACATATGATATGCCTCCTTACCGTTGGTACGCCCAAGGTGCATCCTCTTACACTTTGTGACATTGAATCTCAGTAGCCATTTCTTCGACCATTCTTGGAGCCCACAGAGGTCCCTCAGCAGCTCTTCACAGTCCGCTTGGTTCTTGATTTCCCGAAATAACTTGGCGTCATTGGCAAACATTTGTATGGAGGAGTGTACAACGTCAGGCATGTCATTTATGAAACAAACAAACAACAGCGGGCCCAATACACTGCTCTGTGGTACCCTGCTTGTGACAGGTACGGATGATGATTTCATGCCATTAATCACCACACACTGCTTGCGGTCATGTAGAAAGTCGTCTATCCACGCTAGGACATTTCCCCGAATTCCGCACCCTTCCAGTTTGATTTTCAGCCTTTCGTGGGGTCCACTGTCGAAAGCCTTGGCAAAATCTAGGTAAATATTGTCAATATTACCACCCCGTTCCAGAATATGGGTCCAAATATCCAATACCTTGAGCAATTGTGTTAAGCAGGAGCGCCCCGGCATAAAACTGTGTTGGCAATCCTTTACAAGGTTGTTTCATAGTAGATCGCGGCATCTCTGATATTACTCTCAAGTACTTTACATGTCATGCTGGTCAGGCTCACCGGTCTATAGTTGTTCGTGGAGTGACGATCGCCTTTCTTGAAGATAGAACTCACATAAGCCACTTTCCATTCACTGGGGACCTATCGTTCATCTAGGCATTTACAAAACAGGATCTTCAGGGGCTCGGCAAGCTCGTTGCTCAACTCTTTTAGCACTCTAGGATGCACCATATCAGGGCCAGGACTCTTATGGACCTTTAGCTTTGACAGTTTATTTCTAATACCCTCTTCTGTGAACACAATGTAGGTAGTAGGCAGCTACCAAACAGGGAGGTACTACTGCCTGGGAAGATATTGGAAGCATTATGTGTTGTCTAATGGTAGACCCTGCTGCCATATGGCATCACGAAAATTGTGACCAAGTCCCAGGTTGCTGATCTGACTTTCTGCTTCATTTACACACAATTGCAGGGTCTCAATTGTTTCTCTTACCATTGACAACACAACATACATATATCGTTTCTCACTTTTGATCTTTTTTTCATTTTTGTATTTATAGTTCTTTATTATTAAAATTATTATTATTATTACAGTTACTGTATTATTATCATCATTATTTTATTATTTTATTTTTGTGTTTTATCATAAATTTTATTTATTATGAATTATTATGACAATTATTTATTACTGTATTATTATTATTATTATTATTATTACATTTTCGCTCCCCAGGCCTCGATGTGGGTCAGTGACCTGTGTCCGGGTGGGCTAATCCCCGTAAAAAAAAAAAAAAAGGTCAGTGCTGTGTTGAACAGTCTGTCCTCAAACGCAGGAAGGTTAATCGCATCCTCTCTTGTGAACACTGAGGAAAAGAAGTTGTTCAATGCCTCAGCTTTATCCTGGTCAGAATCTGCGTAACTACCATCTTCAAGTCTCAGGTCTGATACTCCTACTCGCGTTTTTAATTTCGACTTTGCATAGCGGTAAAACGCCTTTGGGTTTGACTTGACCTCGCTTGCAACCAGCCTCTGGAACTCCTTTTCAGCCCTTCTACATTTTATCTTTGCTTGGTTTCTGGCTCTTGCGTACCTGCATACCTTGCATACTTGCATAACCTGCTCATCATTTGACCCAACCCATGTCTTGAATTTCTGGGTTTTCTTTGTAACTTTGTCGACCGCCGCATGGTTCATGTGTAGGGATCCCCTCGTATTCCTAGAGGCACTGGGTTTGGTCTTGGGTATGTATTTATCGATCAAATGGGTCACTTTACTAGTTATGATATTCAGCGTAGTGTCTGCATTTTTGTGCCTTAATGAGTCAGGCCAGTGGATACCCCTCATCTCTTCCCTCATCCCGTTGTAATTTCCATTGTAATATTTGCACCTTGGCCTGGCCTTATCTTGAACCAGGTAACAGTTAAATCTGAATGACAACACTATATGGTGACTGGTGCCAACTGGGACAAGGTGTTCCAGTTTGGCCACCATACCCTCCTCGTTTGTTATGATGAGGTCTAGTGGCTTGGGTGTTTGCTCCCCTCTGTAATGTGTCGGGTCTCTAACATGTTGGAACAGAAAATTATCTCTCAGAATTTCTACAAAAAGAGTAGCAGGGTTATTCAAGTCACTTGGGGTGAACTCGTTTCTCCAGTCGATGTCTCCATAGTTAAAGTCCACCATGATAAGTAGGTGGCTAGGGTTAAGCATCGCCGCATTGTCTATTAAGGCTCTTAAGTTCCTTTGATTTAGTGGACCACAGTTTGGGGATCTGTAGATACACCCAACAATAAGTAAGTCCCTTCCCTTTAGTTTAATTTTACACCGCTTGGACTCTTGAAAAACATCCTCTCCCCGTACCCTTGCCTGGCTGGCTCCAAGGTCTTGCCTAGCATAGATAACCACACCCCTCTTGCTTAAGTTTCTTGAGAAAGGTTTGTAAATGAGTCATATCCAGCAATATTGAACTCACATTTCTCTGGGTCTCCTGTTCTTGTACAACAGTTCTACAACTCCTACAATATCTGGTTGGTGTACCTTCAGTAGTGTTTCAAACTCGTCTCTCTCATCAAGGAACGTGTCAGTATTAGTGTACAAGACATTCAAGCCCGAATTTGTTCTCGGTAACGTCTCTGCTCTTAGTAGTAACCCCCCCCCCCATTCTCAGAAGCTGCAGCATTTGCTAAGTACATTGTATTTTGCAGGGTGTGGTTAGAAATTTCATTGTTTACAAGGCGCTCGCCTCCTCCCGGCTGATAGGCGGAGCTGGTGCCACCTCCCGGGCGGGGGGGTAGAGCTGGTGGAGGGTGCGCTGCTGTGCCCTGGCCCTGTGTCGACACACTTGCTTCCACCACTCTCTCCCTGAATACAACCCATGTTCACCCGTTCCCGCTCCTCCTCGACTCCTCCCTCTTCTGCTTTAAGCCCTGCAGGAGCTTCCTGTGCTGTTCCCTCTGCATTACCGTGCGATCTGGGTGAATGAATACTCTCTGAAATGCCTCGCTCCTTGCTAAGTTTTTTGCCTCCCGAATAACTTCCCATTTCTCCTCCTCACTCACGTGTGTGATCCTGAGGGGGCGAGGCTTGTCCCCCTGCTTTTGTCCCAGCCTCCTCGCATCCTGAAGGGTTGATGGCATCTTCAGAACCTCTGTACAAATATTCTTAAACTGCATCTTATCGTGTATTATCTTACTCTCGGTTCCCTCCGCCTGGCTCTCAGGGACTCCAAAAACTATTACATTGTTCCTGCGCTGGAGACGTTCCCATTGTTCCTCCTCTCCCCTAACAGTAGGTCCGTTAATTTTCATTTCTTCGACACAATTCTTTTCAGTCCCTAGCTGCTGTAGAACCTGTTCTGATCCTGCATTTCTCTCCGCCCCCTCCCGTGGCCCTGCTAATACGTCAGCATAACTCCTCTTAGCAACCACCTCCATTCTGTCAGCTACTTCCTCAGTCTTAGCAAGGATCTCTTTCCCAACTTGTTCTTGTTTGGCAACCAGCAAGTCTCCAGCTTCATCTATTTTCGTCCCTAGGAAACTTGTTCCCCTATGGCTTGCAAACCCCTCATTCACCTTGACTACAGTCAGGGCAATGCCAGCAACAGCCTTCATGCTTTACGGCAGTTTGCAACATCCTAAACGCTGTAAGGGTCAGGCCTGCATCCTCCATATCCGATGACCCCCTGCAGTAATCACATATCATACTTGTGGTTGTTGTTGTTGTTGTGGGGGGGGGGGGGTGCGGGGTGCAGACTGTGTACAGATCTACCTATTTAAAAATAAAGAGAAAAAAAAGAACAGTACTTAGCTGCCCTCTGCTCTGGCTTTAAACCTGCCCTGTGCCTTTAGAGTTGTCTTCTGTTTCCTTTTCAGTTCACTTCGGCATTTGTCGGTAGTTATGTGCTATCTCTGTGTACACTGCATTTTGCTATGAATAACAGATTTTATACACCCACTCAGTACTTTAGAAACACAGAAAAATAAAATAAAACTTTCTTTGGGGCGGTAATAGAATACCTTTAAGGATAGCCAAGCTTGTTGATTTTATTTTATTTTATTTTTTATTTCAACTAATATTTTCTTATACTTTCTTTTCCTGTTCTCATCGACGACTATCTCTTTGCGCTATCACTGGGTACACTGTATCTCCCTGTGAATGGTGTATTGTAGACACAGTTTCAGTCCATGAGAAAGCACACAAGCAGAATAAAATTTGAAGTCTCTGTGGCACCTGTAACATGACTTGGTTTCAGCTGGTAGTGGTGCCTTTCCAGTTTGCTTGCCAGTTTGTATTCACTAAGTTATTTACAACCTCTTCCGCGGTCACTGATGACGCTATGAACTATCACTGCTTACACTATCTCCCTGTGAATGGTGTATTATGGACACAGTTTCAGTCCTTGAGAAAGCACACAAACAAAATAAAATTTAAAGTCTCTGTGGCACCTATGACACGACTTGGTTTCTGCTGGCAGTGGTGCCTTACCAGCTTGCTTGCCAGTTTGAATTCACTTTAAGTTATTTACAACCTCTTCCGCGGTCACTGATGACACTATGAACTGATTTACCTAAAATCACAGTTCAGTACTACACTCCCTGGTTGGCCTTTATCACAGCCGTGATCACAACTCCGTAAAAAAATAAAATAAAATAAAAGCTTTGTCATATAGCAGTGATTTTGTAGTTGTAGGTTGTATGCCTCCTGACCTGTGGGCTGTACCTCCAACTCGGTGGAAATTTAGTTTTCAAAAATACAATCGCGTCTAGCATTAAAAATCCTACATCGATTTACACTTTCACATCACTAAGACGATCTTGATGTTCTTATGTAATCACTGTCCAACTCCTGCCGCTCAACATCGAAGGCCCGAATGCCGAACATGCTTTGTTACAGAGACGCAACACGACCCAACCTGACCCGCTCACACATTTGTCCGCTTAGCAAATGGTTCTTGTCCACTCAAAATGATTATTTTTTTTTATTTTTATGCTCTTTCTTTTGCTGAATATTTTTACAGGTATTTTTTTATAGTTTGTGACAAAATATGAACTTAAGCATTTTTTGATACATTTAGCAGGTTGGATCAGAAGTGACAATCTAAGCCTGTTTGTGAATTTTCAATCAGTGAACCAGAGAGGTTCTATTGTGCATGAACATGCAAGCGCGCACTCACAAATGCACATGCGCACGCACAAATGCACACACACACACACGTGTCCGTGTGTATGGGGGTGGTTGAGTATTGAGGTATGTGGACACAATCAGCTGCATGATTATTTGTTTATTTTATTATTATCATCACATCACCAGACTCATCCCTCAACAGTAATACTGTTACTGTGCACTGTATTTTCTTAAGTCCTTTTACAGAGTTAAACTACTATAAACCAATTATTAACCTGCACAGGTGTTACTTAGCATGTTGAGGGTTGTCTAGACAGTGAATCAAAGTCCAATAAGGATGGGACAGGCTCTATACCCTCCCCCTAGGGTGGACCACGAAATTCTTGCCACAACTGTATATGTGTTTCACCACATTTAATTAGCAAAGCAATAATGTTGACAATCAGACAAGTAGCAATATGAACCAAGACCATCACCAGTTGAACAGCAAAGTTACTTACGTCTGTCATGTTTCTATTCACATTTTTGTGGATATTGCGGTTTTCAAGATCCATTGAAGTTGGAAGCCTATTGCGCAACAAGTTTAGGTATGCACTGTACTTGTTGGAATCTTCTGTAAGTGTTGCCACCTTTTTCCATCCAAATTTCTTGAATAACTTAAAGTACACAGTCCTAAAAAAAAAAAAAAATCAAACATTATACAGTACATTATATATATATATATATATATATATATATATATATATATATATATATATATATATATATATATATATATATATATATATATATATATATATATATATATATATATATATATATATATATATATATATATATATATATATATTAAGTAAAGTCAACATATAACTTTACAACTGGTTCAGCATGCATATAGACAATGTCGATATACAATTACAAATGTGTTAAGACAGTGCAGGTATAGAATACAGTACAGTATTAATATATAATAATTTGACCAAGAACAGCCAACAAAGTCCTCACATATTTATTTCCAGAAGTGTTATTTTGTTTAGGCTTACTTGCTAATCAAATAAATAATAGTAATCACATAAGAATAAAAGTGAAAATTTGTTGATGGATACCATTTGCCTTCACACACGCATAGATGTATAGTGGACACTCCAAGAGAGAAGAAAACAAGTAAGAGAGAAAAAAGCTGTTAAAAGTTTAAATTTTTTTAAATAAACATAATAGATAATAATAAACACATCTGAAACCGCTTTGTCACTTCTCTTGTACCGTCCGCGGTCGTAGATGTTATTTTACGTAAAATCAGACGATTCATATTACACTCAATAGCCCATAAAACCTGTAGCTATAACTTCTTTATTGAGTCCCCCAGTTGAGACATCCATTTTCTCACTGCTTCAGTATGACTGAATCCTCCATTTTCTCTCATGTGCCTCAGAGACTCTGATATTCATTAGTATCTCATATCATGTTATGAAATTTAAAATTGCAACTGAAGTCGTCCATGTTAGATTAAGTTAGATATGTCTACTTACAGATGAAACATTCAAGATCCCTTGTGAGTGATGTTGAAAGCTTCAATTATATTTACTGTTAGTAAAAGTTGTCAAATAAGTTAGAGTAGAGTCTGCCAGTAAAAGTGATGAATCCCTGACCCGTCCTTAGGGACGCCCTGAGTGCCAAACTGTTACTGAAGTTAGATCTTTTTGATTCCCAATCATCAGAGAATCTGATGTTTGTATTGAAATTATTGTCAGTTTTATGTTTTAGAAAGTAATTAATATCCTGAAAAGAGTATGTCAGTCTTCTTATCTCCAACATCTAATGGCAAACTCTCAGTAAGCCCTTGTCTAACTTTTTGATGAGGTCGTAAGAAAGACATTGTCACCTTGTGCATTTGACGTCCATTTCACTATTGCCTGGCAAGCTCAAGCTCTGATTAGATTAAAACAATAGATGTAAGAAATTGATCTGACTCATGACACTGATTTTCACAGCCAAATGCACAGCAACTGATTTAAATGAAGTGTATGTTAATGCGTGAATTGCCCGTTTGGCATGCCTGAGTTGCCAGTTAGCCTCGTATATAAACGCGGGAGCGAGGGACAGCGACACTTTGTGACACTTCCTTCATCGTATCTCAGGTGTGTGACTAGGGCCTCACGCTCACCATATTAAGTGACTTTAACTCAGTCGAATTTTATGAATATCAGTGTTAATGTTTTAACACAGCGAAATTCTCATGTGCCAAGTAAGAATTAACCTAATATAAATATCGTCTGTGTTGTTGCTAGACGTACGATTGTGTGTAATTGTGTTTAGGCTTCTAAGATTTTGTAATGCTTCCCTCATCGTATCTCAGGCATGGTGTGTTGTTGCTGAATACCTGCAGCTACCAGACTACCAGATGACCAAAGCCTGATGTTTCTAATTCAACGAGATTAAGTTCAGGGAGTGTAACACACCCTGGGAGCTACACCCGGGGAGATGAGCTCCCTAGCCATGTGTCAGAGTCCAACCGAAGCTTATAGCACGCTTCATGTTGTAATAAACACCAGTGAATGACCCTGGTGCACTAATCTCAGTTATATGTGTAAAGTAACATTGTTGTATATGATTGGGGATAATTAGCAGAAATATAATTGTTCCAGTTGAGTAATAGAGCCATAAATATTGATATTACAGGTTGTACCTCTCTAGTCCGGCAACCTTGGGACCTGACCGGTGTCGGACCATGGAAATTCACCCTTTTCCTGGATAGATAGTGACTTGTGCTTATGCCTGGAAGCACTAGCACCACTTTCTCTGCGCCATGGTCTCTTTGAAGACATATTGAAGGGTTAAATGTCGTATAGTAGCTTCTCAAATTTCGCGAGTTTTTAATTCTTAACGTATTTTATTGGAACACAAAAAATAAATAAATAAAAATTTTGACGGCAGAAACTTGAATTTCGATGGGTTTGAATGGCCCGCCAACATGCAGACGACGTGCATAATCGTGTAAACAGCGTCATTTCTCTTATGTACAAAAGATTCATTATTGTTTATTATTGAATGTCTTTCTTATTGAATTAATGTTTATGTGTGCAAAATGAGCAATACAATTCATTAATAATAAGTAGAATATTAAAACATACGAGGAAATGACAAAGCATTGTTGTCGTTGATTACAAAACCAGTGACTGACTGGTTCTACATATAAAACTGAAGAAAATAAGACCTTGGTTGTAGCTGTAGTAAACTAATATGGTTGTTCTAAGTAATGTTATTTAATGTTAATAAATGGAACAATAGAAGTAGCTAACGATAATGGTAAAGAAAAAAGAGAGATCGCGTATGTAAGTGCACATGCGCACACGTGAAAACATATCGTCATTACTTTACATAAGAATATGAAAGCAACACTTATTTACTGTTCATATATATTTTAATTAATGTTTCTGAATTTGTTTTTATTGAATTAATGTTTGTGTGTGCAAAATTAGCAATACAATTTATTAATAATACGTGGAATATTAAAACACACGAGGAGACGAGACGGCTGCCGGCATTGTTTTTGTTAAAGCTTACAAAACCAGTGAGTGATTGGTTCTACATATAAAACTGAAGAAAATAAGACCCTGATTTTAGCTGTAGTAAAATTAATGTAAAAAAAATTAATATGGTTGTTTGAAGTACCTGTAATGTTATTTAGTGTTAATAAATGGAACAATATAAGTAGCTAACCATTAATGGTAAAAAAAAAGTGAGACTGCGCATATGTAAGTGCGCACATGTGAAAACATATCGTCATTACTCTACATAAGAATATGAAAGCAACACTTATTTACTGCTCATATATATTGAAGGGTTAAATGTTGTACTCTGTATAGACAAGCAGAGAGAGAGAGAGCAGCCGAACTGCCGGATGTAAACAAACCTTAATTTCCCGCGGCTTTGTTTTTTTTGTTTTTTTTTAGAGGATTAGCCCATCCGGGCATAGGTCACTGACCCACATTGGGGCCTGAGGAGCAAAAATTTAATACTCCTGTAATAATAATAATAATTCAGATAAGTTAAAAAAAAAAAGAAAAAAAAAAGCTACCTATCTACCTATTGGACAAACTAAAATCGTTCCGGACCACGGGAGTTTCCGGACCACAGAATGCCGGACTAGAGGGGTACAACCTGTACCAGTAATAAAGTTTGTTATATGTGTTGTGAGTAAACCATCAATGTGTACTCCCAATTTGAGATGCTGGTACATGTTCCATGTTGTTCATTCAGAAATAACATGATGTTATAAGTAACGTGTTATAATCACTGCGCTATCAGCATCTTTATTGTCAAAGAAATAACATAAAAGTTGTTTAATGTTAACAAATAATTGAAGATCTATTTTGTTACTTCTAAAGTAAGACCTAGTGGTCCATTTTTGTCTGAGTGTGTTTAAATTGTCATCTTATTCACTCTTGATTTTAATAAATATTGAATTGGTAAATTGCGAGTATCACCATTCTTTTCCTTCTAACAATTGCTTCTCAGAAAATAAATAAATACCTCTACATAAAGATGTATAATGAGAAAAGAAAGCAGCTGTGCAAGGTTCTTTCGACAGCTTTATTATTCGAAGACCTAAACCATCAACTTGAGCTACACCATCAAATTCAGCATCATAAGCAGCTTCAACATCAACTTCAGGTTCAGTAACAGTTTCAGCAACAGCTTTATGGAAAGCTACAGCTTCAGCCAGAGTTGAACCTACAGCTTCAGCCAGAGTTGAACCTGATGACTTCGTCATCTGAGTAAAAAATCGCACAATATTCATTGGCTGTCCTTATGTTTTAGACTTTACCACCATTGGTGAGTAGAATTTTTGTTTTACATTCGTATTATTTAAAACATATATGAACAGTAAATAAGTGTTACTTTCATATTCATCTGTAGAGAAATGAGGATATGTTTTCACATGTACGCACTTACTGTACATACGTTGGTGTTCCCAATCGTCTCGCTTTATTTTTTGAATACTGTATTAGTGGTTAGCTACTTCTAGTGTTGAATTTGTTAACATTAACTAACATTACTTAAAACATACATACAGGTATTAATTTTTGTTACATTAAGTTCACTACAGCTACAACCAGGGTCATATTTTCTTCAGTTTCTTATGTAGAACCATCGTCACTCACGAAAACAATGCCGTCTTGTCTCCTCGTGTGTGTTTTAATATTCTACGTATTATTAATGAATTGCATTGTTCATTTCACATATATAAACATTAATTCAATCAAATACATATTCAGTAATAGACAATAATGAACCTTTTGTACATAATCTTAAGATAAATGACTATGTTTCCTTGAGTGCGCACATATACATTGGCGCTCCACTATCAGTCTCACTTTTTCTTTAATATCAGTGGTTACTTCTACTGTACACTAAATAACATTAATTAAAAGATATATATTTTTTACATTAATTTTACTACAACAACAACCAGGGTCTTATTTTCTTCAGTTTCAGGTGGATAACTGATATTATGGGTGTAAACACTGACCTTAATGCCGTCTCTTATCCTCTTGTGTGTTTTAATATTCTATGTATTATTGATGAATTGTATTGTTCATTTCGCATATATAAAGATTAATTCAATCAAATACATATTGAGTAATAAACAATAATGAATCTTTTGTACATATTCTTAAAAAGATAATTGACGCGGTATCCTTAAGGTATCCTTAAATGCACACGTATATGTTGGCGTTCCCAATCCACTTCTTTTTTTTCTTTGCCATCAATGGTTAGCTACTTCTATTGCTCCATTTATTAACAATAAATAACGTTACTTAAAACATATATATCAATTTTTTTTACATTAATTTTACTACAGCTACAACCAGGATCTTATTTTCTTCACTTTCTCGTGTAGAACTATCGTCCAGGACTCCTGGCTGTAAACACAAACGAAAACAATGGCGTCCCATCTCCTCTTGTGTGACCATATTATTATTCATTTATATATTATATAAGGTGCTTTCAGAAACATTATTAAAGAATATAGTTTGCAATTTTCATTAATTGTAGTGTTTTGGGGGGAAAAGAGAGTAAAAAGCTACACAAAAGTTATGAAAAGGCCACACTTGGGAACGCATCTCATTATTATTGCTTTATTTTAATGGTAATTAATGATTCGCGATACGATGATTCACCTTACACTGCAATATTGGAGGACACATTACCGTCGTTATTCGAGGCTTTACTGTGTATCAGGCTATGTACAGGTAATAGGTAAAAGTAGATGGGTACCGACCAGAGCAAGATGTTCCTCGCTGGTCACCACTGCAAACATGCATATATCGGTTTAAGCAAAGTAGCTTTCTATGGGTAATTTCAATTCTACTTACCCATACAATTTGTTCTCTGGGATGGTTCTTAAAAAATTTGGGTATTTCTCTTGGTCGTTGAAGATGGCTCCCTCAGCGCTGTATGACAGCACAATTGTATTGAAGGTTTGGGCAACACCAGCAAGAGGCTCCACAGTTTCAGAACATGCTGGCCCTGAATATGGTAGCGAATAAGCAATTTATTTGTTTCAATCTCAGAATAATGAATAAATGCACAAAATTAGACAATGAAGAACATAACAAGAGACCAGACCAACTGCCTGCCCAACTAGCCAAAATCATGTACAAAAAAGTGTTGCAGTCGGTTCAAAACACAACATTTTGAAACCAATGTATACTAACCAAGGACTCCTATCATTTGTTCAAAGGTCAGGTGACTAGAATCCCTTCGCACATAGCGGATAAATGCAGTAAGTACGTCCTCACTCTTGCATCCACCATTTTGATTCAGCACGTCAATCTCAAAATCTTGCAAAACGTTATCATTGCTGTTAACATTATGATATGCCAGTTCAGCAGCTGAAAAGGGACAATTAATCATTATTGCAACAATTTCTGGACAGGCAGGCTCTCTGCCAGACAAAGATTTGAAGAGGATATATACTGTAAATCTGCATCTCCTCCCCTGCTCCTATCATATATTTGTTTTTGCTTTCAAAATTTTTATGTTAATGTCTATTTGCATCTAAACTTTAGATGCAAATTTCTAAAGCATTCTTAACTATTCAGATGTTAGCAACAGTCCACAAAACAACAGAAATTGCCTTACTGGGTAATGATGAAGATTACAGGATATATGTGAGCAAAAGCTAGCAAGTTTGTTAATACAATACAGTATTAGTGATTGATAAGGAAATGGCTAATGGAAATTACATATGGATGGCAGTACAGAACAATATTGGATTTGCTAAGGGCCTTAGATAGGTTGGATCATGTTACCTTATGTGAAAAACTGTAAACTTTGGTATTGTATCTGTTGACTGGTTCAAATCTCGTTTTAACAACAGTCTAGTACACAACTGTCAATGCAATTGTTGTGATATCAAGATAGCACCCTTGTTCATAACTTGTGGAGGCCCATAAGGAAGTATCTTTAGATATTTACTTTTTCTATGTTAAACAGATGACATGCCCATTGGTGTGGAGAATCCAGGTAAAAAAGTCACAGAAAAAAGTCACAGGAAAAAAAGTCACAGGAAAAAAAGTCACAGGAAAAAAAGAAGTTAACTATTGAATTCTCACATTTTTTAAGGTTAATATGTCAATCAGTTTCAGTAAAGGAATATGTAGAACTGATGGTAACCTAACCTAACCTTTATTACCGGCCACCATAAATTAATTGTGACTTTTTTTCCTGTGACTTTTTTTCCTAGCCAAAATTGTGACTTTTTTTCCTGTGACTTTATTACCGGCCACCGGTGTGGAAAGTAAACTTTCGTTGTGTGCTGATGACAATACTGTCAAGATAGAGTTAACATGTTAAAATATCATCTGAACTGTTGTCATATAAATAATGGTTGTTAGACAAGGTCATCCCTACATTTTGGGATAACTAAAGGAATATTATCTAAATCAAATAGAAAACTTGAGGGTAAATTACTTTAATGTAAAGTACGATATTGAACCTACAGTATCCAAATGTAACCACAGTGAAACACCTAGGGTTAATTCTTGATTCCTGTTTATCTGGCAAAGTATGAGCATAAGCACCCAGTACTGGAGTGGCTCTTCCAAACCTAAGGGAGAGATTTTTCACAAAATATGTACTGTATATTTTTCTTAACAGGTTCTCCAGATACTTTTTGTGTTTCTGTGCACTAGGTCCAGGGGGAGGGGCCTTAATCTATCCATATCTTCCAGATACTGCTTAACTGCTTGTTGGGTTTCACATACTGTACTGTACTTCATTGTTGGTACTGATATCTTTCCTTGTAAAACACTGCCATTTTGGATAATGTTAAATGTGTAACTGATTTGTTGAAAGCATAACCTTGTTAGCAAATGAGTTCCTAATAAAGTTTCTGACTGATATCAAATATATATCTTGGTCCATCCATTTAAATGTTCATTGTGAGTTTTTTAAACACTTTCTTTTGGTACAGTCTGTAGGGTGGTATTAGGGTGGGCATCCAATAGTAGAACTTTGCTTCAAAATGTCTGATGGCAACTGGGTTACTATAGCTGTGTTCAACCTTTGGTCTCTGCTGCAATTTTCTGGTTTGGAGCCCGGTTTTATGGGGGTAAGCAAGGGGCACGGGGACATCCAGTTCTGGTCTGACCCAACATCTGCCAGTAGGTGATTGCAGCTGACCCACGTAAGCGAGGGAAATGGCCATAAATTATTGATGATATTGATTTACTTTTGATATAATAAATGCTGTTTTCATATTTAACTTGGTAATTTTGTGGGGATATGCCTTTCTTGAGGTTACTGAAAGTGATGATTGATTACCTATCCCCCTCCTTAAGGAGCTGCAGACAGCTAAGTTAAGAAAATTAATGTTGTACAATACTATTTTCTACACTTTTACTTCAACATGACATTTAGAAATGTGTTAAATTGGATGGTAAGGGTTTGAAACAAATTATTTAAGTTGACTTACCATTAACCAAAGTGTGGCTGGAAAACCCAATATTCTTCTCACTGCTCATAGGAAATATTCCTGCAATCCACAGAATGGTCTTTGCATAGTAATCGTGTGACAGCCAATTTTTCCAAACGACTGTGTCATCACTATGATTACGTTGTAACCACTCACAAGCAATTTCTTCCATAATTTGATTGTTTGGCTGAGCAAGCAAGGTTGTGTTATTGCTGCAGGTACCAATACGATCTTCATACATGGATAACAATTCTTGGTAATCTTCCTGGCGCAGATAGAATCGTCTGATTGACTGAAATTACATTGTTAATGTTAAAAAATTTTCCTTCATTAGTTTACCTAATAGCTCTTTTAAACATATAACATATATATCAATGCTGGTTTGAATGATGAATGAGAAAATAAAAATTACCTCTACTGCAACTGTAGCAGACGTTGATAAATCAGCCCAAATAAATTTCTTGAGAGTATGTAGTTCATAATTGCACAGGTAGGAATCATCTCCTAGAAAGCTTAGGCAAGAAGGGAAAGATACTGGCATGAAGTTTTTTAAACTGGACATCAAATTTGGCCACCAGTCAAAAAACACAATAGGCTTAGACTCCCGGAAAGTGCAGAGGAAGTGAGGGTCAAGATTAGGTCCTATCCAGGCAATGCGAACCAACAGCTGCTCTTCATCCACCTGCTTCTTCAGGAAATGAGTATATGTATCTGCAAAGGCATCATAAATAATAATCAGATTATAGTCACACCTAGTTTTCAGCAAATAAGAAAATTTCACTTATATTCAACTTAATCAGCTTAATTACTCACTGAAGCTGCCAACAAAGAGTGTAGCACAGTGCCTGCCATCCTCACAGCGTGGTGGTGTATAGATGCCCTCAGTACAGAAAGAGGCATCACAGTAATAGCTATAAAGATAGACCCCAAACATGCTGATAAATATCTTTGCCGACTACTGACATAGTTATATCTAAAATCTAAAAATGCCAATGTTTTTACCTCTTCCAGGTACATAATGAAACAGATATCACCTGTTGCTGGCATTGTTACATGAAAAATGCACAATGTACATATTTTATCAATTAAAGGTATTGTTACATGAAACCTTCAAAATTGTAAACAAAATAAAACTTCAGAGTCAAAAACACTTCCTACAATACATCATCCTTAAAATAATTAATAAAGGTAATTAAAAAATGTGAAGGAACATAAGTTGTGAAAATCTAATGTACCTGGTGACACGTCGCTCCAGAGCTGTTCTGTAATAAGTTATTTTGTAAGCAATCATAGAGAAAATTCTCTAACATGAAGGAGTACAATACACAATAGGTTGATAATGAAACCAGAAAGTCATAAACTTTTACACCTTTTTTTTTATACATTATTGGTTATGAGAGAAGGCAGACAGTAGTCATGTATAAAAAAAATCAATGAGAGTGAATGTAATATTTTTTCAGCTGAATCAAGAGGCAAAAGTGTGTAAACCTAGTGCTTCACAGTGCAAAGGACAAGTCAGAGAGAGGGGGGAAAAATAAGCTGTATCAAAAAATTATCATGGAATTTTTTAAACAAGATACTGTAACAAGATTTGGTTATCAATCAACTGCATTAGTGGTATTGATCAGCTCAGGGTGCTTGGAAAGCTTGTGCCTTGACAAGGCCAGGATTTGCCTGACACTTTTTTTTCTTTGTCACGCAGGAGGGACCTGCAAGAAGCTGGATATTGCAACTAAAACTTATACAGAAAACTGCAATTACATGTGTAATTTTCTTTCCATATACTACAGTAATTAGGAAGGGTTAAGAACTAAAGTTAATGAAAAGGGGCATTTAATAAACAGAGAAGCATTTTGTATTAGCAACATTATGGTTCCCAGTGAGGTGCACTCATCCCTGGATACTCGCAGAAGGTACGTTCTTGAAATGGCCACAAATCTAAAAATCCACAAATAACATTATCATAAAGTAAGAAATATTTGTTAATGTATTACAGTATACCAACATGTACTGTACATTTATGCAACAAATAAAATGTGAATTAACCTCAGCATTCTGTTTGACTTAAATTTATTTAAATCAAATACTGTACTGTATATGTATATTAATGCAGTAAATAAACACCCTGCAGTGAAAAGTACAGAATTACGATAATACAGTATAGAATTATGAAGAAAACAGCCTATCTGAAAAACAATTAAATCATTGCCATTTACAATAATCTTTACATAATACACAATGCATTATGCAGTAATCATATGAGGAGATTGGTGGAGGAAAGATGAATCAACTAACATGGCCACTATGGAGATACATGTACAATACCTAATTGTTGCCTAGACTTTTCTCTGACAGTTGTAAACTGGATAAAACTTGTTTACTAGTATGTTTACTTGAACTTTGCAAAATATCATTTACAGGTATAGGTTGACCATCTCAAATCCGAACTGATTGGGACCTGAGCAATGCCGGATTAGTGATTTTTCCGAACCACAGGTGGTTAGGTTAGGATTAAATAAATAAACACCTCTAACCCACTTCATAACCACCTCACGGAGTTTAGACTACTTTATCAGAACTTTATCTAGCTGTGAACATCTTCCATCTTTCAATGTTTTCCTTATGGACATCTGTTTCTTTGATTCACTCTCAGCAAAGAACTGGAGCAGCTTTCCTTTCTGTTTTTTTTGTCATACACTGTGAAGTGCCAATGTTATACAAGTCGAATATGCTGCGAACAGACACACCACTGTCAAGTTTTTTGAGAAGTTCAACCTATCTTGTATAGACAACGTACTGTATGGTATTTGCGCTTTTCAACACGAGAAGCACTTCCTTTATTCAATTAAGATATGACTGGGTATAAATAAGAGCAGTTTATAATAATAAATAAAGAAAAACACAGAGGAATAACTTGCTGCTCCTCAAACACCATGCCAACAGCTGAGTCTGCTAGTGGCGCCACCAAAACAGAAGCAGTGGGTTGGCGAGGAGACCAGCACGAAATTTGAAATTACGGTGGCCAAATTATGTCCGAACCAATGGTGGAACCAGATTACTGATTGCCAGATATGAGGTGGTCTACCTGTACCAATATAGGCATTTGTTATGTAGATGACAGTGCTTTTGTTTCAAGTATGAAGAATGGCTATAATATGTTGATGATGATGGAGACATTTCAAAAACTGGTTTAGAGATTATTTGATATTTTAGGTATTTGGGGAAGTAACTTAAGGATGAAGGCAGATGCGTGAAAGAAATTAAACTTGAAGAAAGTGAATATTTTAAATGTGGAGACATAAGGCTATTTTGTATAAACTACCATAACATATGGTTGGAAATGGCGACTTAAACAAGTAAAGTTACATTCAATGTACAGGTGCACCTCTACTTAAGAATGTTACACTTACAAACTTTCAGAGATACAAACATCATCACTGAGGGGGGGGGGGGGTTACCTGTCAGAGCAGGTGTTTAATGTGGATGAAACTAGATTATTCTGAAGAAAACTTCAGATAAAACAAACATTACCTAAGAGGAGAAGAGTGATCCAGGTTTTAAGGCTGTATTAAAGGGTATAGCTGTACTAAATATCCACAATCTTTTCATTTTTTACAATATGTTTGGTATATACAAGAGTAAAGTTGGACTTACAAACAAGCCTCAGGAAAGTAACTCGTTCATAAGTAGACGAGCACCTGTACTGTATTGTACAGTATACTGCCCTGCATTTCATGTGACACCTGAAAATGAATTGGGTGAGGGGAAGGGGGCAGTGTACAATATGAGTAAAAACACAAACATGTTTTTGACACAGCAATTATTCACTATTGTGTCCAAATTTCAATTTCCTTACTCTAAATATACATGAGTTATTGCCCAAATAAGCAAGAAAACAAACAAACAGAGCAACCAATGAGTAGTTCCCTTCTAGAACGTGTATCCTTGGGTCATGGACTTCTTTTATTACAGTACGTACCTGGAGACAGAAGGGGGGAGGGGGGAGAGATGGGGGTGGTGTACAATATCACCTGATTATTTATTTAAATAAAAATACAGTATATTACAAACAGACAATACAGTACCCCAAAGGTGTTCTTATTTCAACTTGCACTATCATGAGCCTGAGGCCTTAGGATATAACACACCAGCTTGGGATAGATTGCATTAACTTGGGATGCAACAATAAACTTACCCTGTGGGAGACTTTGTCAGTTCCTTTAACCGTTCCTCTTCATCAGGAGTGAGTTCAAACAATTTTGTGACTGCCTCTTGCTGAAAGGAACGCCAGTGGTCTGTAATGACGTTTGTCTGCGTGTAGCTGTTGTTAGAAACATACCACCCAAATCTGAGGAGAAACACACAACCAAATATAACTACCTGCATACATCATGCAGAGTACTGTACAGTACAGTATTTACAATTACTAAAGTTTTACATTAGTATGTTCTATCTTTTGATTTCACATGAATCTTCATGGTATGAAAGGATTGACCTCTAAATCCAAATGATGTACAAATAATCCCCCAGCCATGAGGGACTGGAAAATATAGAGAATTCACAACTGTTTCAGTCATTCATGTCAAGAACTCAAACTAGGCTAAACCTTTCCACCAGGAAGGGACCATCAAGTTAATGCAGATACAAACCACAAAACCATTGTTTAAACTACTTGGATGTTCCCTGTGTTTTTCTTACACTCCGATTCCAGCAAATTCTTATTTCATGTACAGTATCACAATTCATCACTCGAATGTGAAGCAATGTCTTCATCAAATGTAAGGAGTGTTCTGCATTCGTCTGTATCACTAATATTTTCATGTACACGTTCAGTATTTATAAGTTGTGGAAAATAATGATAGCCCACCCCCCTCCTGCACAGATGAAACCAATAAAGTTACAAAAAACAACTGTAAATACTGTATGGCATCTTTCAGGCAATTTAATTTTACATCCAAACAATACCAATCAATCAACAGTTGGTGTTACCTCCTTGTGCTTGGTGGATGGCTTCAAGTCGACAAGGGTAGGAGGTGAGGAGAGACTTGAAAAGGTTGGTGTCACACTCGAGATTTTGGAGGATTGTTTCAATGGGCTGCTCCATGGTCCGGTGGCAGAATCAGGTGGCTAAGAGTTCAGTAAGCATCAGGGTTTCCACTCAGTCCTTCAGGATGGATCCCACATGATAGCACATGTTTAAGATTGGTGAATTATCTGGATTTTCATTGTTCCCAATGGTCCTCTCATTCTTCTCAAATAAATACATATTTTTGTCGCACAACAGCGGCTGGGTTTGAAGAGCCTTCATGCACGGGGGCTTTGTCCTGCAGAAAAGTCACCTCCTCTATGTCCACATATAAGCAGGATCCTTCAGGAATGGAACGACATGCTGGGTGAGGACCTCTTGGCAGAAATACGCTGTCCCAGCTCTGGCCATGCCACCCCATCACCCACATCATGTGACGGGTGATGAAAAGGACAAAATATAAGGGGTTTTGAGTAACTCCCGATATTGCTCTTTGTCAGGGAATTCATCATGAATCTTTGACCATACCAGTCACTATGGAAATTTGGCCACTTAAACAATAAAATCCTCACTAATAACATGGTGGAGGAAGCTGTCTTTGTCCCATTAATGGTGGAGGAAGCTGTCTTTGTTTTATTAATGGTGGAGGAAGCTGTCTTTGTTTCATTAATGGTGGAGTAAGCTGTCTTTGTTCCATTAATGGTGAAGGAAGCTGTCTTTGTTCCATTAATGGTCGAGGAAGCTATCTTTGTCCCATTAACTAAGATAATCCATGAACCATAGCCTGTCTTCAATGTTGAATGTGGTTTTCAGAGTTTTCACCAGTTCGTGCCAGTCCTTAGACACTACTGAGCATGAAACAACCGAATTGTTTTATGGCGTACTGTCTTCCTGCACTGGAGCTGATTCACCTTGGCTAGAGCCCTGCAACTCTTCTTTCACTAGCATGACCCCTCCAGGATGAAGTCCTTTGATACCCGAGAGAGAGCCTTGGGATGGCTAACCTAGCTGTAGCAGGAATCAATCTCACAGTTATCAGTTGACTTTTGCCAGTTCTACTTCACAGTCTTCCAATCCTCTAAGACACACAGCAACCCAAGTACAGTATGTGAAACAAATGTAGCCCCAATAACACGGACTTCTCAAAAAGTCACTGCTCGAATGCTATCTACAAAGAGTTTCTTCTCAGAAGAGTTTAACATGTTACAAGCCATTATCATACCAGAAAGATACAGAAATAGATGTACTTTTATATTGTACTGCACCTGAGAGTGTTTTTAAGAAACTGTCTCCTCTCAGTTTATATGATCCAGTATCAAAAGGTTTGCATTATTTCATTAACTCTTTCCGCCACTTCGCGTTTTGGTCCTATTATTCATACAACTCGTTCAGCACCAAACAAGCTCTTTCTAAGGAAGAATTTCTAGCACTTAAAAATTTAGCATCCAACGACAATATTATCATTACTAAACCAGAAAAGGGTAATGGGGTTGTTATACTCAATAAAACGTCCTACGTTGAGAAAATTATGGTTATACTTAACGACCGAACTAAATTTGCCCCCATTCTAGACGATTTATTCAGGATAATTCTTAAGTATGAGGACAAGATTAACAGATGTCTTCGTAAACTTAGAAAAAATAATGTCATTAACGACTCCGCCTTTTTAAAACTCTTTGTTAGCGGATCTAAACCAAGTATCCTGTACGGTCTACCAAAGGTACACAAGGATGAGTGTCCCTTACGCCCTATATTGTCTGCCCTTGGCACCTTCAACTATAATATGTCTAAATTCCTCGTTCCCATACTGTCACCAATCACCATTAATCAATACTCTGTTAAAGACTCTTTTAGTTTTGTTAAGGAGCTAACTAGCATCTCATTCAACAACTGTGTTATGGCTAGCTTTGATTGTTTGTTTTTATTTAATAACAAAGCTTATAAACAATGTGATGGTGTTGCTATGAGTTCACCTTTGGGTCCCACGTTGATCAACGCTTTCCTCTGTCACCACGAGAAGCTTTGGCTTACCGAATGTCCCCCCCCAATTTAAGCCTTTGTTCTATCGTCGGTATGTTGATGACACTTTTTTAATTTTCAGATCACTTGATCACGTCCCTATGTTCCTAAATTATTTAAATTCGAACATGGCAACATCAAATTTACTTGTGAATTGGAAAAGGAAAATATTCTTTCATTCCTTGATGTTAATACCCACCGTCTTCATAATAGTTTCGAGACAGCCTTATACAGAAAACCAACTTTCACTGGTTTGAGTTTAAAATTTTCATCTTTTATTCCTCTTAATTACAAACGTAACCGAGTACGTACTCTTACCAACAGAGCCTTCAATATATATTCTAGCTATTTCCACTTGGATATTGAACTAAAATACATAAGGGAACTACTCTTTAACAATGGTTTCCCTAAGAGATTTACAGACACTTATATTGGCAAAATGCTTAATAGGTTTTTTAGTCCCACACAGCCTCAAATCCACACTGTCCCTAAATAATCTATCTATTTCACCATACCGTACACAGGCCCACTCAGTTTCAGCCTTAGAAATAAACTTAAGAAGCTTTTCAATGAATTCTATCCACAAATTTCTCTTAGACTAATCTTTAAAACCCAGAGTTCAATTAAGAAATTCTTTAAAATTAAAGACACCATACCCACACACCTGCAATCCTCAGTTGTTTATAAATTTACGTGTGCTAGCTGTAGGGCAGCATATACTGTATAGGTAAAACTAAGAGACATTTGATAACTCGCATCCATGAACACTTGGGCCGTTCTGTTCGAACAGGCCATTTAATAACACAACCACCACATTCAGCTATTCGTAACCACGCCCACCAACATGACCACCCGTTTTCGCTGTCTGATTTCTCAGTTCTTGGCAAGAGCGACTGTGATACAGACCTCCTCATTATGGAGGCATTACACCAATACAAAGAAAAGCCATCGCTTTGTGATATGGCCTCTAGTGAATTGTTATGTTTTTCACATTAAGGCTTGTCTGAATTAAGGTAATACCCCCCCTGTTCATTTTATTTCATACTTTTTATTTCCTGATTTTAGCTTTGTATGTAGGTCTCTCGTCATTTTTGTCGGTTGTGAAGTGGATTGCTCTTTTATAAGTTTTTGAAGTTTATCAAAGGTAAATTTTCGCATAATATTATGTTTTTATTGTATATCACCTGTATTTTTAAACTTTTTCAGGCTCTGATGATGGAAAGGATTATTTCCGAAACGTAAGCAATTAAAAGAAGGCCTACTTCAAGATGTTTGTGTTTACCCTGGTTCTCCTCTTCATTATATACAGTATATATATATATATATATATATATATATATATATATATATATATATATATATATATATATATATATATATATATATATATATATATATATATATATATATATATATATATATATATATATATATATATATATATATATATATATATATATATATATATACACAGATTACCTCTCTAGTCCGGCAACGAGGACCTGACGGTGCGGACCATGGAAAGCGGACCATGGAAATTCACCCTTTTCCTGGATAGATAGTGACTTGTGCTTATGCTGGAAGCACTAGCACCACTTCTCTCGTCATGGTCTCTTTGAAGACATATTGAAGGGTTAAATGTCATTATAGTAGCTTCTCCAAATTCAGAGTTTTTAATTCTTAGCGTATTTTATTGGAACACACAAAAAAATAAATAAATAAAAATTTTTGACGGTGGAAACTTGAATTCGGCGGGTTTGAGCAGCCCTCGCCAGTACAGGCAAGCGTGCATTATCGTGTAAACAGCGTCATTTCTCTTATGTACAAAGGATTCATTGTTGTTTATTACTGAATGTCTTTTTATTGAATTAATGTTTATGTGTGCAAAATGAGCAATAGAATTCATTAATAATCGTAGAATATTAAAACACAGCGAAATATGACAACATTGTTTTGTTGATTACAAAACCAGTGACTGACTGGTTCTACATATAAAACTGAAGAAAATAAGACCTGGTTGTAGCTGTAGTAAAATTAATATGGTTTTTTTAAGTAATGTTATTTAATGTTAATAAATGGAACAATAGAAGTAGCTAACGATAATGGTAAGAAAAAGAGATCGCTATGTAAGTGTATGCTTGCCTACGATGAAAAAGCTTCTCGTCATTACTTTACAAAAGAATATAAAGCAACACTTATTTACTGTTCATATATATTTTAATTAATGTTTCTGAATTTGTTTTATTGAATCAATGTGCGTGTGTGCAAAATTAACAATACAATTTATTAATATCACGTGGAAT